ATATACAGGGTGTTTATTAATTGAATGCCGATACTTAAGGGTGTGAATCCTTGGGTCATTTTAAGAAGAAAACTTAATATCAACATATGTCCTAAACCTCTTAATTTTTGAGCTACAGGGTGTTACAGTTTTAAGAAAAAATTTACTTTTTTATTATAATTTTCTTATCACTCCAGATATTTTTAGGAAATTTTGTACACACCTATTAATCATTAAGGAGCATTGTTTGATGTAAAAAATGTTTTAAAATCTTTGCCAATGACGTCCGTACGAGGTTTGAACTAAACATTTTTGAAGAAAAAATGGTACGCCACTGCTTTTTCTAAAAACTAAAATTATTTTTAAAATCTCCATTTATTTTACAGCAAATTCGGTCCCTAGACTTACTCTCGTACGACGCACCATTTGCACGTAAAAAAAAAAGGTTTTTCCCCAAGTTCATTGAGACTGCTTTTGATATTTTGTTTAGTTTAGTTTAGTTTAGTTTAGTTTAGTTTAGTTTATTTATTTTGCATATAGACATTAATACATGTATAGCAATAGTCAATATAATGATACAGTAAAACTGTACACTATTATTACATATAGAAAAAATAATTGTAAATATAAAAACATTAAACATAAAAACAATTCGAAAAACAAACAAAACAAAAAAAAGAAACATCCGCTACTTGAATAAAAACATTTAGCAGTTAAAGGTCATAAAATTAAAAAAACCTTACAATTTAAAATATTCTGGAAGAGAATAGTAACACCTATTTTTGCGGGTACTGACCCCATTTAAAAAAATCGGAAACATCATTAAATTTAAAAATTACGAATTTCAGTACTAAATTAGTAACCTTAAAAAAATGATTTCACAATTTTCATTACTTCTTGGCCTGCTCAAATAATGTTCTGTATTTCTTTCTGTCTTCGTTATTGTGTACAAAAAGAGAAATCATTCCCTGAGATCCCTTAATTATTTTGGCAGAAATGTCTATTTAATTTTATAGGCACAGTTCAGATAAATAGTATTTTTAAGTTTTTTTTTTAGATGTAACAACCTATTTGAGAGTATGAGATATACTAACGATAGTACAGCAAACGTTCTTCTACCATAGTCCTACCTTTGGTGAGACGAAATATGTTACTGGCGCTGAAAGGCGCGTATTTTACTTCATCAAACAGTTTTGGATACTTTGTATAAAATATTTTTGTTCAAACACTATTTCCAAATGAAATAGACTTACCTAGGCATCATTCTAAAATCTATTGAAAAACTAGCTCGTGATGCAGTAGGTATTAAAATATGAGTGAAGATCTGTTAATGACCAAAACCTTTTGTTTCTGAAATAAGCGAGTTTTTTTAAAGAAGTAATAGAGGTCGTGAAAATAAACAATTATTATTAAGTATGTTATGTGATTCAGAAAATTAATCGAAATTTATTACGCAAAAACTTGGGACGACCCTGGCTTGCCCAGCTTAATCAACAGATCAACTGTAAACAATGCAGTAAGTAGGTCAAGTTCATTATGGTTATTAGCATGGCTTGTAGAATTTTATCGCTGGTTTCAGCAGCAAGTGGCATAACAACCAAATTATACAAACACAGTAATCTCCACAATTGTATGATACTAATCCTCACATTATACAGAATTTACGTTTCCATCAACGATTTTCAGTGAATCTGTGGTGTGGGGATTTCGGTGGCGCATCATTTAGACTAATTGTATTACCTACCTTCGATCTTAAACATTGTCTCTCACATACTGGTTTTCCATACAAGAACGCAATGTACCCGTGCATTGGCCAGTGTGGAGTCCCGATATAAGTCCTCTAGATTTTTTCGTTTTGGGTATTCATAAAACAGAACCCATTATCGATGCAGTCAATCTTCAACAGCGTATTTTTGCTGCAGGCCATAAATTTAGATAGATACAAAGAGTAGTGACACCCCCAGTATTTCAAAAACTTTCTAACAGAGAGCCCATGAACCATCACCATCACTCATGACTATGCGAGAAGAGTCCATTAAATGACTAAACTATATACACCAGGAAAATTAGCGAAAATAAAAGAGAAACTCGAAAAAAGTCCTATCCGCTAGATTATTGTAAAATTGTCTAAAGGAACATTATACAAGACATCTCTCGTCTCGTGAGTCAAAAACTTTTATTAGCTAACTTTTCTATTTAAACAAATAAGTGAGGAAAACAGTTTTTTCACTTTGCAGGGAAAACCATCAATTTTAGAGAAATTGAAATTTTAATTAATATTTCTTTTAACAATAATGTTTGACATTTTTGTAAATTAAAAAAAATTTATTATAAAAGATGCATTTTTTCTGGGGTTCAGGGCTATTCTACGAATTCGTAAATATGCCCATTGTTATTTTTTCGTCGAGCTACCCCAGTTTATAAAAAAAAATAAGTTTCTACGATGAATAGAAGCCGAGATATAGCAAAATTTAGAGCGCGCACCTATTTAAACTTTGGATTTAACTTTTCTCGCCAGCGCTACCGCTTGGACGAGCTTCCCCCACCACCACGCCGCCGGCCGCCGGACAGTTTACTTAGCGAGTACCTTCTCTTTAAAGGGCTCGTGAGTCGTTAATTTTCCACATTTTTCAATGCAATTCACGGGAAATCGTAGTTTACGTCGTAAACTTTATTTTGCGAAAAATTCAAGTCTTAATGTTTATAAACAATTGCGCTACGAATTTTTAAAAAAAAATTCTTATCTTGGCTCCTGTTGGTCGTAGAGGGTACTTTTTTTATTTTAAAACTGTATTTTTTTGCCAGCTATCCATTGCATCTATTTTCGGTGAGATAGCATAAATAGCAACAATGTTATTCAAATTGTTTATAAGCGAAAAACGCACGGTTTTTTAATGCACAATTTGAGAATGTTAATGTCAAAAAAACGGTGATATTTTTTAATAGGTCGCTTAATTACGTCTTTAAGATTACAATGACGCTTTCAGAATCATGTTTGGTTGAAAATTAACGCCTGTACAGAGGCTTAAAGTTCATAACTTTTGGAGCCTCCGCTATAAACAAATAGAATTGTGCGAAAACTATTGCACCTACAGCGCCCACTTTTGGCACACTTTTAAAGTATGACAAAACCCTCAACTTGTCATAGGTTTTATAAAATTTTAACAATAAATGCGATAGTTATAAACAAATGAAAAAATGGGCACTTTTCTTGTTTTTTTGCAATAACTTTTTTGTTTATTAACCGATTTTAATTTAACCAGTCTCATTTTGTAGATAATTTTACTCCCTATAAGCTGTCTGAGAGTCACTTTTCGCTAAAATTGATGGTTTTCCCTGCAAAGTGAAAAAACTGTTTTCCTCACTTATTTGTTTAAATAGAAAAGTTAGCTAATAAAAGTTTTTGACTCACGAGACGAGAGATGTCTTGTATTATGTTCCTTTAGACAATTTTACAATAATCTAGCGGATAGGACTTTTTTCGAGTAAAAATTTAATTTGCTTGGTCTAAATTGCTTTGCTAGGTTGGAAGTACTGTGGAATATACGCATTTGTAACTCCAATTTTGCTGATCGTGGATGTAGATCTAATAAAGCATATCCTAACCAAAGACTTCCAACACTTCTCAGACAGAGGTATATACACCAATGAAGAAGTTGACACCGTAGGTAAGGCGGATGCCTACCACAAAGATTCGATGGATTTCTCAAGGTTCTTTTACAGGTTGCCATCTATTTGCTCTCGGCGGATACAAGTGGAGGAACATGAGAATTAAACTGAGTCCCACTTTTACAACCGACAACCTAAAAATCGTATTCCAGACGTTGGTGGCATGCGGATTGGTTTTAGAGAAGCATGTGGAAGATAATATTAAACCAGATCAGCCCGTAGATATCAAGAAGCTTTTTTGTAAGTAAGTCCTATAATTTCTTAGTTTAAATGATTCTAATTGTACTGCCCAAAGCTTTAATAGTATGTTACAGAATAAGTGTGGTAACTACGTTTTTATCACACGAGGTTGAATAGTCCACAGTACAGGCAGGGCCGTTCCTGGGGTACTTGCCGCCCTGGTGCATAGAAAAATTGGCCGCCCCTACCACGTAGTATATATCTATCATATCATTATGACATTATTAATATCAGGGATTAGAGATGTAGTATGATGGAGGTGTGTTATTAGAAATACATATAGATTTATTTTTACAGTAACAAACTTTAATATTCTACTGCAAAATATAATCTAAAAAGTCATAACAAAAATAATCAAAAGCTCTAAAACCAATATGGTAACTCATTGGAAAACAAGAACTTCGTATTGCGACTAGTATGAGAGGTATTCACAAAATATAGAATATGGAAATTTTTAGCTGTCTAAACGTTGTAAATCTGACGATAAGTAGGTATTAATTATTGTAATCTTTTGACATTTTTAAAACATCCGTGATTTTACATTTTTTATTAAACTAATGCAAAAAATTAAAGGGTCAAAAGAATTTCCGAAAATTTTCCGTGATTTATGACAGACTGTATTTAGGTGAAAAGTGGTCATATCGGGAATTAAAAAAAAGTATTTTGAAGCTCCAAGATTCTAGTTTTTAGATCTTTCGGTCGAAATTTTGTAGGTGCTACGGTTATCATGCAATTCTAATAAATAGGGCGACAAAAAATTTTGCAAATTTCCAAGTCCACGGACTTGGAAAAAATTTTTTCAGCTAAGCCATTGCATGGACCAAATAGCTTGTTTATTCAGCTTCAATTTTCTTATTTTTAAATTTCCATACGACCATTTTTCATCGAAATATTGGACTATTAGTGGTTTTTAGTTTTTTGTATTCAATCATCGATATCCCGGCGACAAATGGTCGTACAGAGAATTGAAGGGCAGTTTCGAAAACTGGAATAAATTTCCTATAACATGCTGCCGCAACTTTTCGGAAAAAAAATTTTTTTTCGACTTTTACACGAATTTTAAAAAACAGGAAGAAAAGGGTAATTTATGGTTTTTCAGAAAATTGACGGCTAAATTAGAATTATTCACGAAATGACTAATGTTAAGTATGACTTACAATTCGATATACCCAGAAGAACCGTGTGAAGTTTCATTTCGATCTAGCGAACCGTTTCTTTGTTTCATACAGTCAAACTTTTGAAAAAAAATAAAGGGTCACGTTTTTTGAGCTTAGACACTTCATATGATTAAAATGGAAAAAACAATTTTTGAGGCTTTCTCACCTTTTTACCGCAAATAACGTTTAAACTGATGAAAAAAAAAATTTGCAAAGTTTTTTTGTCGCACTATTGCATGATAACTGTGGCTCCTAAAAAATTTCGACCGAAAGATCTAAAATCTAGAATCTTAGAGCTTCAAAATGTTTTTTTTAATTCCCGATACGACCATTTTCACCTATATACAGTCTGTCAAAAATCACGGAAAAATTTCGGAAATTCTTTTGACCCATTAATTTTTTGCATTAGTGTGTAAAAAAAGTGTATTATAAAACAGTGTATTTAATACATACCACAGTATTTATAAGACGAAAATTAATATACACTCTATCTTTTGCAATCTTTGCTGCTATTGTTTAAATATTATTAGTTAGGAATCTGGGAAAGACCAGGACAGAAAAGCTGAGTTTTGGCCGCCCTTGTAGCTCGGCCGCCCTGGTGCCGGGGCACCACCAGCACACTGCCCAGGAACGGCCCTGAGTACAGGCCCCCTCTGGAAAGTTGATTACCACATACTTTATAACTCCTGAGGAGCTTCGTTTTGACGAGTCTACCACATTTTCCTCTGCGACTTTTCTCGATTCCTCCGCTTTTCCACTCTGAAAAGTCCAAAACATGTCAATTTCCCGGGGCCTTGAAAAGTCAAGACCACATCTTTTATTTTTAGCTTAAGTAACTGGAAATTTTGTTGCAAATGCCGATTTAAATTTGTCCGACATAAATTCCTCCGACATTGACGTGTCTACCGGTCGAAACATGCCAAAATAACAGGGTATTGAAAATCAATTACCACATAGGTAATTTTTAGTAAAATTAATTGTAAATAATTAATTCAGTCAAAAAGTATTGTTGTCCGACAAATTTCAAGCCGCGTTTTTTCAGTCCGACAGCTGGAAATCGGAATTTTCACGGGGTATGAAAAATCGATTACCACATGTCGGACAAAAATAACACACGATAGAAAAGTGTTTTTTATAAGCAAAAATTGTAATGTCCGACAAAAATATATCCGCAAATCGTCAGTCCGACAAAAAATGATGAAAAAAATTTCGTAAAAAATGTGCACATGTATTTATAATTTCTAATAAGGTATTTTCATGTATTAAGCAAAATTCCATATAAATATACAATACAGGGTGTTTCAGAAAGACCTCCCGTAAATACAGGGGGTGAGGACGACAAAAAATAAGAATTTTTTGTCATATGAACTATATGTCTATCTCCTCTTCTCAAAGCTCAAGCTTACTTTGAGAAAAGTCACTTATTTTATAGTGTAATATTGTAAGAGTTTAATTAAAAGCCTTTTTTCTCGAAAATCGTCCACATTAGGAAGTTCTAACAAGAGTACATTATTTTTAGAAAATAAAATTGTACAATAGAAATTGGAGCCCGACTGGTAAAAAATCTAACCTTAAAAAAAATATAACTTAAATTGTAATAAGAATGTAGCATAACTAGCGCCCTCTATGAAATATACAAAAAATAATTAGACTAGCGTATTTGGCACCCTTAAAAACCTCGGACTACCAAATTTCATAAAAATATTTCGCACCATTTGGAAATTTTCATAAAAATGTTATTTAAAAAATTTTATTTTGTCTCTCTGTATCTCGAAAACAAGAGGAGATAGACATAGAGTTCATAAGACAAAAAATTCTCATTTTTTGTCATACTATCACCCCCTTTATTTACGGGAGGTCTTTCTGAAACACCCTGTATATATTTTTCGTTTTATTCTTGTAATTGTAAATCTCTATATGCTCAATTTAGCCAAATAAATATCGAGAAAAGAATTAAACGATTTCAAAAAAGTATGTATGGTGTAAAAAAATTATGCACAAAAGTTTTGGGATTTTCTTTTAGAAAAATAGGAAAATTTTTGTAAAGAAAAATAACAAACGCGAATGAAAACTTGAAAGAGAAAAAAGGATTTTTATATCAAGTATAATATTAATTTATTTAGAAATAATGCATTATGCACTAAGATCGTATTAATCGCCTCAAAAATAACTTCATTTGTTTATAACTTTTAAATTTTTAAGCATAAAATAAGCAATATTATAATTATTTATTTGAAACAAATAATAATTTACATAATAATAATTAATAACCATTTATAAATATGAAATTTTTGGAGTGAAAAAATTAAATTTCATCACGTTTATTGATTTATTGATTTTTTAATAATTTGCGGACATTAAATCGTCGGACACTTATATCACTATTTTGTACAGTAAATTTAAAAGTGGAAAAAATGAAAATTAGATATGTGGTAATCGATTTTTCATACCCCGTGAAAATTCCGATTTCCAGCTGTCGGACTGAAAAAACGCGGCTTGAAATTTGTCGGACAACAATACTTTTTGACTGAATTAATTATTTACAATTAATTTTACTAAAAATTACCTATGTGGTAATTGATTTTCAATACCCTGTTATTTTGGCATGTTTCGACCGGTAGACACGTCAATGTCGGAAGAATTTCTGTCGGACAAATTTAAATCGGCATTTGCAACAAAATTTCCAATTACTTAAGCTAAAAATAAAAGATGTGGTCTTGACTTTTCAAGACCCCGGGAAATTGCCATGTTTTTGGACTGTTCCGAGTGCAAAAGCGGAGGAATCGAGAAAAGTCGCAGAGGAAAAATGTGGTAGACTCGTCAAAACGAAGCTCCTCAAGAGTTATAAAATATGTGGTAATCAACTTTCCAGGGGGGGCCTGTACTGTGGACTAGAAGATTGAAAAACAAGCCTTAGTCTGTTTGCCGTTGACAGTTATAAAATCATCATGACTTTGTCAACCTTTACTAGATGTTGCATTTTTTTCGTTGCTACGGTGACATGAACATTACGGAGTAGTGTTCCCTGTAATCCGTATAGGAAAAAGAGTCGATAAACGTACATTCAAAATAAATCTAAAGTATCACCTTTTCAGCATGTTTCGCCATCGACGTAGTAGGATCCTGCAACTTTTCCCTTAATTGTAACAGTTACGAAGAACCAGACTCTATTTTCATACGCACAGCTAGAAATATTTGCGGTTTGTCCATATTTAGAGTGATTCTCATCACGCTTGCCCAAAGTTACCCTCGTTTAGCTCGTGTCCTTAGAATTCCTCAAATTCCAAAGAACGTAGCAAAATATTGGACGAAGATGGTGGAAGACATAGTGTCGTACCGCGAGCGAAACAACTTGGTTAAGAGCGATCTTCTGCAATTGCTGATGAACTTGAAGGGTTCCAGCTTTGTAGAACGGAATGATCAAAGAGGTGAGCTACCATAGAGAAACATGACAGGGGTTGAGTACCTCAAAACAACGTGCCTATACTGATTTTTATAAATGTTCATTCAATCTTAATTGTTATTTAAACACGTAACACTACTACTACTACTACCACTACCACTACCACTACCAATACCACTACCACTACCACTACCACTACCACTACCACAACCACAACCACTACCACTACCACTACCACTACCACTATCACTACCACTACCACTACCACCACTGCTACTACTACTTCTTACGGGGTGCTACTAAAATAAAAGGACGTTATAAGCAGCAATGCCTTTTACGTTGATTTCTACGGAATAGAAAGAGTAGGTATTTCCACAAGTAAAAATAATAAACTAGGAGAAATAAAGAAGAAAATGGACTAGGTAAGTACTAAGTACAGGGTTTTGTCCAAGGTAACATTGAAAATCAGATCAAATAAAAAGTTTGTTGACAGAAGCTGTTGCATCAAAAATATTGTTTTTAGTTTTACATGATGATACCAAAAAAATCTAAAAACTGATTTTCTGTACAATATATTATTATTGGCATGTAATAATGATGCTTTCGTCATCTCTTTATATGCCAGGTTTGACAGGTTCAGCCGCATGTCATTTGACATTACTTTTTAAGCAAATTGCCGATCATATTCTCGACATTCGATTAAAATACACAACACACCCTCTTAAGCTGTATACCGGTCGTAATTAAACACATTCTCTTTACGACTACTCCAATTTCAGGCAATGACAACACTCTGACGATGGACGAAATAGTGGCACAGAGCTTCGTATTTTTCTTAGGAGGCTTTGAGACTAGTTCCTCCACTATGACCTTCGCCTTATTCGAGCTGGCCATGCATCCGGATATTCAGGACCGGCTTCGGGACGAAATCAATTCGGTTCTAGGCAGACATGACGACAAGCTCACGTACGATTCGCTCAGCGAGATGAAGTACTTGAAACAGGTTATAGATGGTACGTATATTGAAGCGAAAATCACCTTAGTGACTTTAGGCTAGTAGAAAAATACTGATAATTCGAGTTAGGGAATGGTTGAGGGCTTATTCGCTTCGGAATCACGTATAGAAAAATGTACTAAAAATCGTATACGCACATAACCAATTGCAAACGCTATAAACAAATAAGTATTAAAAAAAGGGGTACGGTTTTTTGCAAATAATTCGAAAAATATAAGCGTTAGCGTCATTTGAAAAAGATTCCTGTAAATATGTGTCAACTCCCGAATCTCTATAGTCATTATACAGGGTGTTAAAAAAAGAGTGTAAAATATTTCAGGAGGTAATAGTATGGACCAAAATAAGCAGAAAAGTCTTAATAAACATTGGTCCGCAAAGTAACGGTTGCGGAGATATGGAATGTTTTATGTTTTTTCGCCCCTTTTTTTATTGGGCAAAAACGTTGTGTATTTACTTATAATAGTTGGTTGATGTTTAGTGAAATAAACAGTACGTATTTGACAGTTGTTCTCAGTGCACAAGTTTTCTTTCGCTATGGCTGGTCAAAGGAAGCTTTTAACAAACAAAAAACAAATTTACAGAAGATGTTCAAAGTGCCATCCGTCCATTTCCAAGCAGGCATGACATCTCTGCCTCAAAGATATTCGAACTCTTTCGAAAACACCCTCCTTGGTTTGGATTTCTTGACACTTTTGATTAATCCGTAGCTGCAGCTCTTCCAGGCTATTTACAGGAGTACCATACACTAATATCTACAAATATCCCCAAAAAAGAAATCTAGAGGGTTCAGATCAGGCGATCTTGGAGGCCATAAAACAGGTCCGGCCCTTCCTACCCATCTATGTGAAAAAGTTTGGTGTAAATGCTCTCTAACGGCCATGAAAAAATGAGCTGGAGCACCATCATGCTGGAACCACATTTGTTGCCTCTGATTCAAAGGAATGTCTTCCAAAAACTCGTACAGTGTGTTCTGCAGAAAGTTGAGGTAAGCAGCGCCTGTTAATCGGTTTGGTAAAACAACAGGACCTAGAAACCTGTCACCTACAATACCCATCCAAATGTTTAATGAAAAACGTGCCTGATGTCCAGATTCTATTAGAGCATGAGGATTTTCGTCAGCCCAAATATGCGTATTGTGAAAATTAAACACTCCATTTCTTGTGAACCCGGCCTCATCAGTAAAAAGAATGTTTGCAAGAAAACGAGTGTCTTCAGCATCATGACGTAGAAACCAGCGGCAAAAAACCAAACGTGTTTGATGATCATTTATTGGATTTAAGGCCTGTACTCGTTGCACATGGTATGGATAAAGCAGTTGCTCGTGAAGGATTCTCCAAACAAGAGGACCACTAATTCCTGCCTCGGCTGATATTCTCCGCACACTCGTACCTGGATTCTGCTCTACCAGTGCTAGAATTTCTTCTTCTGCTCTAGGAGTGGATACCGACCTTGGTCTTCCGGATAAATGGCACTGTTTGCTCAAGGAACCGGTATCACGCAATCTTTGGTGAATTCATCCAAACACGCGTTGTGAAGGAATCTGGCGATTTGGATAAGCGTCAACATAAAGACGTCGCGCTTCGGTGGCGTTCCCATTAGCACGACCATACATGAAATGCATGTCTGTTAATTCTGCGTTAGAGTAACCAGCCATAGCGAAAGAAAACTTGTGCACTGAGAACAACTGTCAAATACGTACTGTTTATTTCACTAAACATCAACCAACTATTATAAGTAAATACACAACGTTTTTGCCCAATAAAAAAAGGGGCGAAAAAACATAAAACATTCCATATCTCCGCAACCGTTACTTTGCGGACCAATGTTTATTAAGACTTTTCTGCTTATTTTGGTACATACTATTACATTTTACACTCTTTTTTTAACACCCTGTATGTACATATATAATTTAATGTTGGAAATAAGGCTTTTAGCGTCGAAAGTAACGTAGGTACGGCGCCGCCGCAGAAAAGTTGTCAAATCGTGCAAAGGCAATTTGATATAATTATTGTCAGAAGTGGGATTTTGAGGATTATTAATTTGAGCAAACAGTGTGTATAATTTCAGAAACGATGAGGATTCGTCCAGTAGCGAGAATCCTGCAGAGGTTATGCATGAGCGACTACAAGGTACCAGAAGAAGATTTGGTCATAAAGAAGGGTACTAGGGCCTTCATTTCGATACCGGGAGTCCATTGGGATGAAAAACACTGGCAAAATCCGCAAGTATTCGATCCAGAACGTTTCACCGAAGAGAAAAAGAAGAATATGAACAAGTACACTTATTTACCTTTCGGGCAAGGACCTAGGATGTGTATTGGTAAGTGCCCGATGCACAAACCGCGGACAAAAAAAATCCTATAAAGATGACATTTAGATGTCTACTAGAAAGGTAGGCAAGTCCGCTTACGCGGACTTGACCTTTTTCTCAAGTTTTATCGCCAAAGTAGTGTCAAAAAATCGGAACTGGTGCCTAACGACAAAATAGCGACCCGCCGGAAAAACGCTTCATAACACAAAAGTTATTTTGACGTCTTCACTAACGTTTGTCTGCATCTCTGTCTACACCTCGGATGTACTTCGGGTATCTTTCTCGCACCGGAAAAATTCGATTTTCGGCAAGAACTCATTTTAAAGAGAAAATTTCTCTTAGAAAACGCTAAGGACGCTACAGTTTTAATATACGAGTATAAGCACTAGAAAGGTAGGCAAGTCCGCTACGCGGACTTGACCTTTCTCTTGGGCCTTCGGCCCTGGAGCACGAGCACCGCTCCACGGTGCATTCTCTGTGGATTCATAAATAATATATAACATTTTTCAAGAAAAAAAAGAAATAATGGTGCCTAACGTCAAAATAATGAACCGCTTCAAAATTTATTTTGACGTCTTCACTGAGGTTTGTCTGCATCTCTGTCTAAACTTCGGATGTACTTCGGGTATTTCTCTCGCACTGGAAAAATTTGATTTTCGTCGAGCTACAGATTTTAATACATAAGGATTAAACGTGGTTTTATTCTAATATCTGTCTCTTGATTATTTCAGGAGCAAGACTGGGCCTGATAGAGGTGAAGTTGGGCCTGATTTACATTCTGAGAAAGTTCAGAGTTAAGTTGAACGAGAAGACGATGCTGCCTCTGAGGTTGTCAGTAAAAACCCTTTTTTCCTCTGCGGAAGGGGGCATCTGGTTGAATTTTGAGAAATTATCATAGTATTACTTTTATTAATTCATGCCATAAAGATTTATAGTACACTAGTACAATTTAAAAAAATGTTTGGTAACTGATGGTATATCATATAAATAATGAAATTCATCATATTTATTATTACATTAATACATATTGTTATGAAATGTTATGATATTTCAGATGATAAATTAAAACATACAGAAAAAGAGACCAAAATGTAATTTAATTTTTTTAAATTAAATTAAGAGATATCCACTCAAAATATACAGAAATCGAACACAAAAGGGATGTGCAACACATAACACAGCCCCACAAAAAAAAAAGTGTTCGGACTTGTGGGTCGGACATATATATTCCCATGTATTTTTCGACGCTGAATCCGATCCCGAGCTCAGAAATGGCCCTCCACGTCTGGAATTGGCCCCAGGGGCCAAAAATGGCCTCTATAGGGCCTGAAAGATGGATTCCGGAATATGGTGAGGTCGAAGGTGCATTTTAAAGCCAAACCCGGATTTGTGGTCGAAAAGTTTATGGCCAACTGAAATTCCCCGTTTGGGACCGGGAAAATGACCCCTTAGGGGCCGGAAAATCGTGTTTCGGACGTCGCAATCGCAACAGTGGTGTTAAATGGTTTTTAAATTCTGGAATTCGAGCACAGTTTGAGTTCCAGAATTTAAAAGTACATAAAAATACCACTGTTGCGATTGCGACGTCCGAAACACGATTTTCAGGCCCCTAAGGGGTCATTTTCCCGGTCCCAAACGGGGAATTTCAGTTGGCCATAAACTTTTCGACCACAAAT